TTATTGTTATTATTATTGTTATTATTATTACTATTATTGTTATTTATTACTATTATTGTTATCATTATATTTATTATTATATTATTTTATTATTACTATTATTTTTATTGGTACTACAATTTGTGTTATTACTATTGTTCTTATGGCTATTATTTTTATGGTTACATTATTTTTCTTACTTTAACTCTACCTTTCAATGCTCTTACTGTTAATGATATAATTCTTTACATATCATCAACATTAATATAATTACAATTCAGCATTGTTATTAGAATTATTTTTTATCATTGTTGTTATTGTTGTTTAGATTATTATTGTTATTATTATTATTAATATCATTGTTTTTTATTATTGTTATTGGTATGAGTATTGATATTACAATGCTTTTAACTTTTACTACTATTGTTACTATTACTCTGGCTATTATTAGTATTGTTGGTGTTATTGTTGATATTATTATAGTTATTATTATTTTCATGATGCTGTGTATTGTTATTTAGGTTATTATTATCATCATCATCATCATCATCATCATCATCATCATCATCATCATCATCATCATCATCATCATCATTCATCATCATTCATATCATCATCATCATCATCATCATCATCATGATTGTTATTGTTATTGTATTGTTATTGTTTTATTTTTTTGTCATTATTATTGTATTATTATTATAGTTATTCATTATTTATCATCATTGTTACTTTATTATTATTCATTGCATTATGATTATGATTATGATTATTTTTGCTGTTATTGTTATTTTCATTGTTATTATTGGTTTGGTTATTATTTTTTATTTGTTATTATAATAATTGTTATAATTTAATGAGAAGGATAATAACAATAGTAATATTAGTACTACTGATAATAATGATAATGATGATATTGATAATAATAATAAAATATAATGATAATGATAATAATGATGATAAAAATAATGATGATAATAATAATGATGATAATGATGATTATAATGATGATGATAATAATAATAGTGATGATAATGATGATGATAATAATGATAATGATATCGATGATAATAATAATTGTGATAGTAATAATGATAATAATGATATATAATAATAACAATATTAAAGATAATAATAATGATGATAGTATTTATAAGAACAATGATAATGATGATATTAATAATAATGAGGATAATGATAATACTGATAATAATGTTAATAATGATATTGATAATAATGATAATGATAATAATTATGGTACTGTTAATAATGATAATGATGATAATGATAATAACAATACTGATAATAACGGTAACAAAAATAATGTTATTACCATTATCATTGTTGTTGTCATCATCATTGTTGTTTTTATCATCATTGTCATTATTTTCATTATTATTGTTGTTATTATCTTCATCATCATTGTTATTTTCATCATCATTGTTGTTATTATCATCATTGTTATTATTATGATTATCGTTGTTGTAATCATCATCATTGTTGTCGTAATCATCATCATTGTTATTAGTATCATCATTAGTATTAGTATTAACATTATCATTATCAATTATTGTTGTTATTATTAATATTATTATTGTTGTTATTATTATTATTATTATTATTATTATTATTATTATTATTATTATTATTATTATTATTATTATTATTATTATTATTATTATTATTATTATTATTATTATTATTATTATTTTTATTATTGTTATTGTTATATGTTATTGTTATTATTATTATTATTATTTTTATTATTATTATTATTATTATTATTATTATTATTATTATTATTATTATTTTATCATCATCATTATTATTATTGTTGTTATATATTTTGTGTTATTTATATTTCGTTATATATTTTGGATCTTTACAATTTTAATTATTTGTCTTTAATAATTCTTAAGACTTTATTGTTTATATTATTTTTTTTTCTTTGATTATTATTAGCATTATTGTTTTTGTTGTTGATAATAAGAATGACAATAGGAATGATGTTTATGATGAAAAGAATAGTAATATTCACAATAACTCAACAAAATAACAAGAATGATCATTATGATAATGAGAGATTCATTATAGTAATCACTGTTTTTATTAGAATAGTAATAATATGCTGATGATGGTAGTGATGAAGATGATAACAATAATGATAATGGTAATGATGATGGTAATAATTGTAATAGTAATCAATGTACTATTAGTATTAATGATAACAGTAGAGATGATGATGATACTGATGCTGATAATGATAATAGAGAGATTAGTGATCTAGTAACAATTATGGTGATAGTGAAAGCAAAACAATGATAATGATACTACTATTGTTCTTACAATTACTATTACTCCTATATTACTACCGCTATTACTACTACTATTATTGGTGATGATAGTAATAATAATGATACTGATGATAATAATAATAGTAATAATGATACTGATAATGATAATAATAACTAATTATGATGAAAGAAGTAATGATAGTAGTATGAATGAGTATAATAGTAGT